GATTTTATATTTTATAGGTAATACAATGACCCCGTGCACAATTACATGAAAACAAATAAGTCTTTAGAAGACAGTGATAGCAACTGCAATGAGCCCAAAAACTGACATAAATACAGAGCAGTCTGTAGCGTTTCTAGATATGCTGGTTAGTTGACTAAACTGTCTAAACTGTGTGGTTAATTTTTATGTGAGGTTACAACCCTTCACAAATAAGCAATACAAAATGTATTAATTGATGAGTGATTTCAATTTTAAAATTTTTGTTTGAATAAGGTATATAAGGCATACGGTATGTTATTATGTCATTTCAATATAAAACTTGGTAAAATGGTTTTAATGTGTGGATCAGTACTTTTTTTAATGTTTTCATTTCTCTAATAAAGAGGGGAATCTGTGTTTGTATGTGTTTGGATTTTGATTATGTATGACCCGAATAGTCGAAGCTTCGAAGCTCAAAAAATTACATTTGGGCCAGCCCAAGTAACCATTCATCCAGTCGACTTCAAACTTGACAGGTGTGTTGCTGCAGACACAAGGGAGCACAGTGTCGTGTTTGTCGCAATTTTAACACACAACAGAATTAATAATTAGCCTGTACTCACAACAGCGCTGAGCTCTACTCTGCAGCAGCAACGGCAGGGAACGCTCGGGTGCACAGCGGAACTGCTAATGCGGGCAGAGCTTATGCCGCTCAGCTCTGCAACAGCGAGAGCGGGATACGTTTGCTGGGACGTTGTTAAAAATGAATGTGTTGAAACAAGTTGTAAGAGTTTGTTTTTTATGTTAAGTTCTAAGCAAGCGTTGAGTATCTATAGGGCTAGACAATAAAACAATAAATAATTATTGTGATATAATTCTTTTCAATAACAATATAACAAATGTTTAATAAATATTCAATAAATGTTTGATTTTATTCACTTATATCATGCACGAATTAGGACTTATTTTTTTTAGTAAGATATTTAGGAAGTTGAGGAAAAAGGACTGAAAAAAAAACAGCTTTTACTGTTTGGAATCAAGTGTTGCCCATAAAGAAAAGTTTGATACTTATCTTGATAATTATAGATATTGAAAGATATGAAACCTTTTATCGTGATAACAGTTATTATATTATCATATATTATCATAGGCCATATTGTCCAGCCCTAAATATCTAGCATTACTTCCGCCATTGTTGTATTGTTTCAGTCTTATTAATGCTGTGTTATTAATGCTGTAGGTCAGGGGTTAGGGATTATTCCGACCACTGGTGAAAGCAATGTGAGAAGCACATTTTGAACTAAAAAGGGCAGGGAGGTATCACATCCTTGCACAGCCCTGTGAACAGGCACTGCACTAGTTTTAAGAATACCGTGATAATACATGATAACATTGGTCACAGTAATCTTGATATAAAATTTCATCTCAAATGATCTATGTGTAACTTCAACAACGCAAGTGTTACCAAGGATGGATGACATTATATAGCTTGAAAAGGCCTAATCAAACATTCAGATACTGAATTAAAAGAGATGAAAATGCTGATTGTAAATAGAATTTGAACAAGCTGCTGCAGTTTGTATTATGGATTACCCTCGTCACCTGTGCCTGAGTCTGCAAGAGCATCAAAAGTGATAAGTAAATACACACCTACTCACACACTTGACAGTAACCTCATGTTGTGTAAATGCATTCAATCCATCACTGAATCACACATTTAAATTTCACTGTGCTCTTGTAATGGAAACCATTTTTATATGTTGCTTTTAGGTAATGTCAGAGTGGTTAGCTACTTAATCAACCAGACTCTGTGTCACATTAATAAAGCCCCAGAGAAGTAAACAAATACGTTTTCCACTCTCATTAGGACTATTTCCGCACTAGTAGAGCAGGAGGAAGCTGCTTGGTAATGACGTGCAAATCACAATGTAATAAATTAGACATAGGCTGGAATTAACAAACCTTGATATTTAATGGACAGAATGTTATGACTAAAGCGTTAATGCCAGTCTCATCAGGGTACGTGAGCAAAATCACCTTGTATGTATTAAGGTATGAACAAGAAGAAGGGTGATAAGGGCTGGGATGAATTATTACTAGTAAAACCATAAATGCCCTCTGAGGTTCGAGAAAGCGTAAATATTAAATATAACAAATAAAAGGTGTTTTGTGGTTGCCATCGACGTCTGATAAAAGCAGATGAAAGATCTGTAAAATCACTGGGAAAGAAGAAGAGGAACACAAGGTCACGCCCCATCCACTTGTCAAGTTGGTGCACAGTAGCTAAAGATTTTCAGTTTTATTAGAGGCTTATAACTAGAGGAAGGGGATTATGAACTGAATCCTTTGTAATTAGGTCCACTGGGTGAAAGTCTTAAAAACAATAAACTTCAGAGGAAGTAGAAGTCAAGGTGATTGGATGTAGAGGTAAGACAGGGGAAGAAAACATGTTTACATGATGGAGGGATGAGTTTGCATTACACATGTTGCACAAACCATTATTTCTGTCCTTGTTACCCAAGAGAAACTTACAGGCTTATCTTTTATAGTATTTTGTAACTCAGAGGAAAAGCAGTCCTCCCCTCTACCTTTGGAGACACTGCTGTCTTTATTACCCGTCTGCCATGAATGAGACATCCTCCTCCCTGTGCGCTATCTCCGTCTACCTGAACCTTTGTGCCTCCTCTAAAGTCTTGCTTCTGGTCCCTGGCTTCGGCTTGAACATCTTCATCCTGGTCTCCCTGGTGTCCTGTCTGCTCAGCCAGCGAAGCAAGATAAGGAGCAACGTGGCGATGTTCATCCTCGGAAGCACCAGCTGCAACCTTGTCAACCTGAGCCTCTGGCCCATGACCATTCATTGGAGGCAGCACGGCCGCTGGCTGCTGGGCTCTCGCTTGTGCGAAGTCATGGTGAGCGCCAAACACCTGACAAGCTCCGCTTCCTTCCACTACGTCTCCTTCATTACTTTCTCTATTTACCTGACAGTGGTGTGCGGCTGCAGGCACCTGGTAAACAGCAGGGTTTTCCTGGCCCTGCAGCTTCTGTTCCCACTCCTTCCTGTGGGTTTGAAGGAGCTGACCATGTGGTTCTTGGGAAGCCATGTGGATCATCTGGATCCTGTCAACCTCACTTGCTTTTCCTTCATTAACGATAAAATAATGAGGATCCTTTTGCTGGTGAAGACTCTTGTGTGTTTGCCATTAAGCCTGTATTTCTATGCTCACGTTCTGCACACTATCGTCCAGAGCGCTAAGCTGATGCAAAGGAGCCAGAGAGTCAATGTGCGCCTGGCAAAAGTGTTCAGCCTCATATCTCTCATTACCTTCACAGCACATATACCTGGTGAGTAAATTTTTACAGGGTTTTTTTGTGTTGCGTTGACTCACTAGTTAGACTTAAAGGGATGGGTTCACATTTCCAAGGCTGTCTTACACTAAAGCTATATTCACATGCCACATGTACATTGAAAGAGTTTTAGTTGTTGTAGTCGTTTTTCCTGTCTGTGCTGGCCGTGAAGCGTTCCCTTTTTACCATGAAGTGGCAGGAGAAATATCTGCACTGCTTTCCAATGCTTAAAACAGTAGGCTATGTGAGTTATTTATATACAAAAGCTATACACAGACACATAGGCCTATACACCCAGAACATTCCAGTGTATTTTCTGAATTTGTATCTGTGAATGTTAACAGCAGGCAATGAGATGATGATATGGTTTTCATCTTCACATAAAAAAGTCTGACATTTGGGAAACAGTGTCCATCCTGACTGTGTTTGAGCACCAAGCATCAACGATGTAAAACACAGGGTCTACCTCCTCTCATGTTGCTGGAGTCTTGCACTGACAGGTTGCACCCGCCGAGTGCTTCATCCGGGATGTTAATGGGGCAGGTCTCTGTAAAGACAGTCTCTGATTTCTGTTGCTTGGCCAACATGAGTCCCATTTTGTTCAGACTGGACCTTTAGGAGCAGCCTTAAGTCAAAGCTGAGCCAACATGGCTCCCATACCTGCTCTCTTTCCTCTCCTCTGAGTTATCACTGCACTGCTGTGGTGCCTGGTCCAGTTGTGTAGATGGTAGTCCACTGCCCTTTAATCCAAAAACCTTTCTTTTCTGATGACTGTATTTCTGTCATACGTGAAACACTTGTTTTAGCAATAAAGCCAGAAAAAAACAGATAAAAAACATGTATAGCTGAGTTTGAGGGAGCTACTGGCTGCTGCCTCTATAAGAGCTGCCAATTGCCATAGCAAGTATACAGTACAGCCAATTTTTTTATTATTAAAATAAATATTATTTTTATTTTTTATAAACATAATTCCACAAACGACACTTTTTCTACATTTAACTTGTTGAACGGTGTTGGAAGTAACTACACTGTAGGTCTAGTAATACACTTCAGAGCTTTGTGTGTACAGTGTAGTGGCATTACAAAATTATAAGGCTATTTTCTTGTTTATTATCAGTTTAGATTTGTGTTTCTATAAATTGGGTTCTGTTTAATAGAACCTAGAATTTGAACAGCTAGGACTTTATAAATACTTTCAAAAGGGTACATTTTACTCTTAACAGAACACACATTTGAATTACCTACAAATGTCTCATTCAAAGCATGAATATTGATGAATATAATACTTATTTATGATTTTGAATAAACACAGTTTCTTCCTCTTTTTCTGGCTGGGTAAAGCTCAAGTGGGCTATGCTTTTTGGCTATAACATACCTTAACTTTTATTTGTTTCGCTTTAAAAAAAGCTCAATGTATATTTACACACATACACATTTATAATCTTAATATTAAAATGTTCTGCTTACACTGACTATACTACTTTTGTTGTGAGACAAATAAGACAAACAAAGGCCTTTGACTTTGAGGTACTCATTTGAATATAAAAATTACTTTAAAAAAGACTTATTTGTGGTTTTATTTCACAAAATATAAATAACTAATTCAAATGCATTGTAATAATTGCAGAAAAATTGCAATTAATACCCTTTCTTATACCATACTTTATGTACTATAGGTGCTGTGTTTGCACTGATGGAGCACTCATCTGTGTGTCAGGAGATGGTCAGAGATCTGCTGCTGGACCTCCCTTTACTCTCCAGCCCAATAATCCTGCTCTGTATGAATAAGGAGCTGAGGAACCAGTGTCTGCTATTGCTGAAGCGCATCCCCTCCAACAACTACATGAATAAAAAATCTCTCAGCAAGACAGAGGAGCAGAACAAGAACCTGACTACTGTTGAAACTGACACAATTCACCTCTAATTCACAAGATTATGATTATAAGTTTATTGAGTCAAATGTTTCATGATAATGCTTAGACTGTTTGTTTACGTGTGCAACCTGAAAGAACTGCAGTGTATTCTTCGGACATGAACTGGAGCTGATTAAAAAAAGATTGCGATTTTGTTGTTTGCAATTATCTTGACTTCCAATTTGTCATTGAGGTGAATAAATGTTTAAGAAGAAAACACAAGCAAGCAGCAAATAAATATATCAAAGAACACGTAAACACAAGGTTTTGTTTTGTAGTGTCATATTTTATGCCTGTAAGTGAACATCCGTGTGTGTGTGTGTGTGTGTGTGCGCGCGTGTGTGTGTTGGCTGTGGGGTGAATGTAGGTCAGACTGTAAATTCATCACTTTCAAAGTCGCAGTGAGACCAACATTACTGCCCACTTGTCTGTGTTCAATATGTCTGAGTTACAGTGTTTCATTTGCAGCAGGACAACATTATTATTTATTCATGATTTACATCCATTGGGTTTTCCAGGCACACAGCTGAAACACTGGTCATGCTCGACCAATGGTTATGCAGTGACATCTAGTGGTGATATACTAGACTGCGTGTGTCAACACTGGAGGTGTTTTTTTCATAAATATTACGTTTAACAATTCAGTAACTTCCCTTTGTTCACCTACCATTTTTAAAACATTTTGCATATGTTTCCGGTATCTACAGCATCCTTAACTTGAATGTGACCACTTTCAATCTGTTTCAACCAGCGTGGACTTTATTTCTTTGAGGCTTTAAACATGATAAAATATAAAAATGGCAGCTAAAACCAATGTTACTACAAACAGTAAAAGGGGATGGAAACAATTCATAAAATAACCCATATATTCCTGTTAAATGACATTCCTGCTTGTAGTCAGTAGGTGGTGCTGTCTGCTCACGTTTGAATCTGCTGCTTGCAAGTAAGTCATGAATGACCGAATAATATTCATTAATCTTCATGATAGATTCAGTGAGAGGGATGCAGCACTGGATAATGAATATGCATATTTATGAGCTTCTTCACTCATGACTTAGATAATCCAAGCACACACAAGTTACGTTTTTTCCATGCAGCCTTCATTCCCTTGAAACTTCTATTGGTGACCCACAGTATTGAGCTCCCACTACTCAACCTCTAACCCCGGTAATTTCCCAGGGGTCTCTGCAGCACGGTGAAGCATATAGGAAATGGTAATTAACTGGTGTCTCATGCTACCCACATATTGTATTAACTAGATGAACCACAATGAACATTTTACTGAAAATAGTCTCATGTTTTGCTAAGTGGATTGCTGATGCAGTGCTGCAGCATTACAAGCAAAGTAATTTGACAAAAATTAACAGCTGGTGTATTAAATCATATCAGTATCGTTTTTACTGTATGGAAATGGAAATATAAATAGAACACGCATTTTAGTAACAACCCTTGTGTTGCGCCCTCCCACTGCTTTGATTTTTCTCTGACCTTTGGTACAATCTACACACACAAACTCATTACCATTTATTTCCCTTTGCATGCATTAACATAACCTATTTAAGTTATAGATTTATTGCTCGTGTAGTTAACACAAGATTCAGTCAATCATAATATATTGTTTGGTGTGTGTATTTACTATATGTTGTTTTTTAAATTTGTAATTCCCATTTATGACAGCAAAACTCCTTTACGTAAAGTAACTAGTTGGAGGGAGATACATTTCAGTTAAGACTGTGTCATGTGGAGTCAGCTCCTGCTGTTATCCAGTATGTTGTGCCAACTAACATAATATAGCATTAATTCTAATTACTAAGACAATCTTTAAGCAATTATATACAATTTCTCCCCTGTAAAGCATTATATAAGATCTTTCCTTGAATCAAAGAATAATTTCAGTCTGCAGCAAGTGTCTTCTGTTGCCTAGCAACTCCAGCCCTGGTGCGGACTAATGCTGTCTGGTGTGTGGAGGTAAATCGGGGGGCAATCTGATTTCAAAATAGGTTGCACGTAGGCGGGGGTCAAACTTTGCTGAAGCTCTAGGACAGTTTTCTCAATCGTTGCTGGATTCTTGTTGTGCTGTTTGTCTTAAAAAGATGAGGAACGTAGCTCACTAGGGGAAGTGTGCTGCAATTAAAATAAGATTAAGAGACTATAGTCCAAGGACAACGAATCAGATAGCATCTAGTGATGGGAAAGTAATGTTTAGCTGCTGACCATGGAGGCTAAAGCTTACAAGTTCTCCCAAATGGTGGAATTAACCATGCTTGCCACCTGAGCTGCAAAGTCCCCAGGCAAGCTGTGGCTCTGTTCAAAGCGTGGAAATTTACTTTGTGGATTGCAGCCATGTCCTTAACTCAGTGGTATGTATAATTGCAGCGGTGGCTCTTACATTCACATGTGAAATGCTAATGCCTATAGCGATTGTTCTTCTCCCAGGTTTCCTGCTTCCTGTCCGCTACGCTTCGCTAAAACAATTCCACATTGCCTTCGGCAAATCAGCTTCTCTTTTGCACTGCTCCCTCTATTCCTCTGTTCATTAAAGTTTCATGCCAGATTTTTACTTTGATAACATATGCATATTGTATGTCATGCTGCTGGATGCAGGTAGCATCACGGGCTGAAAAAGTCTGAAAGAAGTCCACATCCTTTATACCCAGCCTTTGTAAACTGTCATATGCTTCTGCTGTTTCCTTCGTATCTTTACAGATGTGTCACTGCAAGTTATGGAACACTTTGACAGAAAGGAGAGACCTTTTATTGTGATGTTAAAACTCATCCATCCAAGCGATCACACCGCTATGAAAGAGCCGGCATGCTTTATCGGGTATGCTATTTGAATTTCCATAGGTTGTGATGCTGCCTATCCTATCCAGTGATGACAGGCTGCATTTCCAATGTAAATGCAATCCTTGATATGCCATCTCAGAGTTTTGATAAAGAGAATAAAGTATGAGGGATTCTATATTCAGACAGATGTTCTGATTTCTAATCAAATACTTTTATGTCTAATTTTATGGGTAGACGACCATCTCCTGAAACTATTTGCACCTCCCATATGAGGATGAGGATAGTGCAGATAAGCATTTCATTCATGGTTGCCCACCATACCCCACCAGCATTGGCTTTTTTGAACTTTTTTATTGAAGTTGCAGCTGATTTACATCAACAGCACAAAGCAAAACAAATCAACACAAAAATAAAAGCAAAACCAAACAATAAAAGATATGTGCAGTGAGAGCTTTAAAAAGGTCTTTGAATGAGTTTCAGTGGTGCAGGGCTCTAGACTTACCAGTGTAAAGGAAAAGTAGAGCAGTATAGAAATGATTTATAGCTCCCCTAACGTTTAATAATTAGATAAAATATATTGGTGTTTACCAGCATATCTGAGCCGAGGCCTGACTGGGTAAGTAATTTGATACTGTTGAACTCAATGGGAGAAGTCCCATCCCCTCTCTCTCTCTCTCTCTCTCTCTCTCTCTCTCTCTCTCTCCTCTCAGTCTCCCATTTTTTTCACTCGAGCTCTCTGATGCATTTGCGCTACTCTCTTCCTGCCCCGAAAAATCACTTTGTCACATAGCGACGCATCATTTCACATGCTAAATTTTTAAAAACTGGAACTGGAAATCCTTTCTCAGCATGCAATATCCATTAGGGAGAAAATTATTCATATGATTCCCCTGCATTATTTATTGCTTAATGAAGAGAAATATGTGCACCACACGCTCTCACCATTGTTACCCGCCGATACTTTACCTCTCAGGATTACGGGTTTCGTCTTTACAGGATCCCACTGTGCCTTCGCTGGATAATCTAGAGTGAGAAACAACTTTTGATCACATAGTAATGGGATTTAAAGTGCCCTCATTCCTCCATCACCTCTGGAAGATTCACTTCGTGGAGGTCCCATAAATCTCCTCTCTAGTGGTTGTTGGGGTCCACGTTGCTGCTTTTTTTTTACTATGCATTTAGTTTATTGTGGGAGTGTGGGTAAGGTTTTTTGGTCTTTAGGGCAGACACACATGAATAACTAATACCGTACCATAACCAACACTCGCCCTCTCTCCTCCCCAGCTCTCTGTGTGCTGCACCACCTCTTACTGATGCACTGCAGACCACCAGCTTGAAGAGTTGAGATACAATATGAAGCATGGCCAGAATGTAATTTGGAAAGACAGAAAAATATCTTAAAGCACCATCGAATGCATTTATTCCGGAGACAATTGTAGCCGCTGAAAATAACTGCAAAGCATCAAGCGGATATGCCTGTGTCAAATACAACCTGTCATAGGGTATTACAGTCAAGGTTGGCTTGACTGTGTATTGGGTTATGGAGCTTTTTGTTGTTGTGCTGTGGAGGGGAAGCAGATGGAGACTTTGCAGGTGGGAGAACCAGGCTTCTGTTCTCGGTTGCTGCATGTCTGCTGCTTATATTCAGCCTCTCCGGGGTTCCTAATATCACAGTATTGAGGGTGATAAATGGATCTGCAAAGGCGACACCAACCAAGTTCATGGTTCAATGATTTGGTCACTCCTTGTACACATTTAAACAGAACAGATAATAATTCTTATAGGGATCCTTATAAAACTGAAGCGCACAACATAGAACCTGTGTTAGTATGTGGATCTTTTTTAAATTACATTTCATGGGAGCAATAACAGGGCTGTATATGTTTATAATGCATCACAGTAAATGTAATAAAGTTTGGCTGCTTGCGCACATATGCTTTACTTGTTTGCAAATTGAGGTAAATACCAGAGACATTGTAAATGTGCAGGCGCTGACCTTTTTACAACACATAAACAATGCTGCTGGTTCTCTGCACCCTGCAGTTTTTATGGGTCACAAAGAACACTTAAATCCGTATAAACATGTAGAAACACTAATGCTTTTGGCAGGAGTGTGTGGTCAAAGAAAAAAACAAAAGAAAGATGAATTTTACTCAGTTATATGAATGACTTGAAGTTTAATTTTTATGTCAGAATATTTTATAAATTCTATATATCCGTGCTGTTCTTGTGTGGTCGTGAGTGCTGGACATTGCTTTAGAGCTGGCCTCTATCCGTCCAGTCCTTTTCTGTTTCCAGCACTATCCTGTACAACCCTACCTTTGTTTACGCATCTGCCCTTGTGGTTTTTCCTGACTTTGATAAATAATTGACATGCTCTTCTCCTTTGATATGTACTTTAATGCTTTTTTCACCAACCTTGTAAAAGTCTACACACAGTGCTTCTTTTCCTGCTGAGTTTAGAGTG